AACCGCTGAGACGCTAGTCGTGTCCTAAGCTTGGTTATACGATGGTTAAATTAGAGCAATTTTTTATTTTTATTTTTCCATATACAATAGATTACGTTACTTGAAAAATATTTTTACGGGGGGGAAGGGTTGACGCCGTGTCACACCCAGGGTACTTACAAGATTGGCATGTCGACATCCAGGCCGTTTTTTACTACAAGTGACATTGTTTTGGATGAGCAGTGAGATAGCTGCATAGATTAATTAAGTTCCACGTGGCATACATTACTCTATAATTTTAGTTACGAACAAGAACATGGTCTACTTCAGATGTTCGGTCCTGCAGTTGGGGTAAGCAACAATCTAGCACTGGAAAAGATTTATTGCATGTTGATTCTTCGGATTCGCGCGTTTTGGCCAGCTGAATTATATTATAGAGACATAAAAAAATTATCTCACAAAGGGGGAGAGGGTCACGAGTACCCCAGGACCACCCCTAGCTACGCCTTGTTTTACATTTATTCTTTCTTCTGAAGAAGTTCATACACACGAGGTAAACAATATTTTTTTACTACTGTTATAATTACAATTGAAGATACGAGTAGATATGGCGCTTATTACAAGTAGTGGAATATACAATTAAATACGCGTAGTAGTTACTAAATAGCAGTTATGTTACTGGAGTAGACAGGAGTTCCCTATGCCAGTAATAGGTAACTTATAAAGCAGGGTTTTCTTTAATTTCATGTACTTACTTATTATGAAGTAGGCTGTAGACGTAAAATTGACGGAAGATACTGGCAGATGTGTCGCCTACATAAAACTTCAGTTTAGGATATACCGTTGAATCTGTCGCGTAGTGAAGCCCATTAGGTATTTGTAATAAACGTTTCCAACCCAAAAGGTAACTTACCTATAAAATAGAATTTACTTAAGTTCATACAGTTGTAGTTATCTGCTTATGAAGTAGACAATGTTGAAATAGACAATTTCGAGTAAAGAAACGATTGTACCAGTTTTGGCTTATGAAAGTTTTACGCCTATTGAATCCGCGGAGAAGCTAGCACACTAAGCGATTATAATATTAGAGTTTCCTATCCAATAGGTAACTTACTTGTAACAAGAACGCGCTTACAGCGGCATGCGGGACTCGCCTGCTTGGAGATCAGATCCAGCAATGAGGCGATAAATTCTACAAGAAACATGATTTACTCGCTAAAGGTTTTTTACTTCCTACTTTATCGACGTCGATACTTTTTAGTTGTTTCTGAATTGATTTAGTGCGCGTGTTAGCGACGATCAAAAATACCTCTCCGGTAGCAGGCTATACGCGTGTATAAATACACGAAAATTCAAGGGCCTCGATTCCAAAGAAATTACATCATTGCCAGATATCGAAGAAGTGATTTACATGGCACGTCATTTCAATCATCGCCGAAAATAAATCACATGCTCGTCACAAGACTCATTTGCATACAGGGAAAGTTTACAACACCCGACCATCGCAATTTTGCTAATTAAGATTTTTTTGTTCAACCACTCAGTAGTGTTCACTTACTCCAAAGTAATCAACGCTTTCGAGCGATAGAATTCGTGGACCGACACGTTTCGGAAAAGCTCTAAATTTAATCTTTCCTAAGCTTTCTTCGCAAAACATGCATGGCTTCTATCACGCAACGATTTTTAGTCCCAGTTTCCACGGTCTCCGCGAGGAACGCCTGGCACAATGACCTTCCTTTTGTGTCCTAAATTACGACCAAAAATTCCGAGGGGTGCTTCCTGAAAAATTGGGAGGGGGTTTGCGGCACGCTTCCTGAAACCCTAACCCTATTTCAGACCAAACTCTGTGATTTTCCCTACCCTATTTCAGACCTGATCAAAAATTTGATACCCTATTTCAGACCTGAAGCCCTGGAGCCCGGCGCGCGTGACAAGCTGTTACGGCACGTACGCGGTAGTTGGCGTAAACATTTAAAAGGGAAATGGTCTTATCGCCAAAAGATGACGAAGTAGCTAATTCTTCTAAAAAACATACCTAATTCAAGACTAGAGTGCATGAACCATACCCTATTTCAGACCAAAATGGTCGAAATTGATACCCTATTTCAGACTAAAACGGCACATACCTATATAGCCTATATA